TTAGAGAGGTTGCTGGAGCCCAAACACAACGTCTGTGGCGGCTTAAGTCCCTCCATGGAATCACACGGCAGTCGCGCGCTAGCGGCTCAACCTAGCAGCGGTTAACTCTCTTCAGACCGGAGAAAACTAGTACGCACTCAGACCGACTCCTCCTCCGCTGCCAACATGTTATAACGCGGTACTTAATCACAAACACGAGCACACTCTTCCATGTCTCACCTAACTGGGTTGTAAACTTTAATAAACTTCCACGTCGCATGTACGGTCCATCTTGCTCGGTCCGGTTACAAAACAGTGGTTTTCCAATAACAGTCCGTGTGACTCACGGAACTAAACAATGGTTCCTACATATAGTTCCTATTGTTACAGTAATGACGGCAGCTTGCTCCTTGGACGGGTCAACAACCAACTGGCAGTTAGTAGTACATCTGAATGCATCTTGTACGGTCCTATCCACCATTCCATTTACATGGTTCAATAGCAGTGCATACGGTCCGTTTACAAGACGGTGGCTTATGCATGACCGGACAAAGGGCTCCCCACTCAGTGCATCGGCTACCACATTCTTTGTACCAGGGACATAGTTCAGGTCAAAATTGTATGCTGCGAGCTTTGAAACCCATCTTTGTTCACATGCATCTAACCTAGTCTTAGTCAAGATGTATGTTAATGGATTATTATCCGTCCAGACTGTAAAACATCGCTCTTTCAGCCAGTGGCTAAACTTGTCGCAGACCGCACATTTAAGTGCAAGGAAGTCGAGCCGATGTGCTGGATAGTTTAGCTGGGAATGTGACCGTGTCTTGCTCGCAAACGCCACCGGTCTGGCAACTTTTCCATCAGGAGGAAAGTACAGCTGCGAAAGTACAGCTCCTAGGCCATCAAAGGAGGCGGCAATAGCGAGGATGAATGGTGAGCTAAAGTCTACATGGGCCAACGCAACACTGTGCACAAGCTTGTGTTTCAATGTTCTGAATGCCTCCCTTCACTCATCAGTGAACTAAAGGTAAGTGCTAGATCTTTACTGGTGCAGTGTCTGATGAACAGCCATTTGACTTTAATGTTCTGGCTGTCAAATGTTTTTGGCTGCTCTTCAAGACAACTTGTAGTAACATCAGCAGCTCGGTTTAGTCTAAGCCAATACTCGTATGGATCTTCCTGTTGTTTTGGCATGGTGGAGTAAAAGTCAGCCAATGGCACAGAGGAGCAATGGCTCGTACTGAAGTGTCTACAAAGGACCACGTAGATCGCCTGTGGGTTACGTCGGACATCAACTTCACCGTTTCTTATACCAAATCTCACAACGTCCTTGGCTCTGCCTTTTAGGTAAATGAGAATTTCCTCACTCTGATTTTCAACCAGAATGCCACTCTTTCTGATATAATATTTCATTGAATCTTCCCATTCGTCACCAGACAGCGTATCCGAACTCTCCCCTCGGAATACAGGTGGGTCCTTAACTCCTCTCTGAGTTACCAGCTGCACTTGGGGGAGATCCGGTGTGTGGTTTCAGCCCTTTGTTTGGGTCGTTTATTCATGACTTGTGTCTACAAAAGCTGCAGGTCTTGATGTGCTGAGATGTGACATAATGCTATCAGCTAGCTGCTGCCCTATCTGTTGAACAATAGTGCTCATCTGGTCAACTAGTCTCCCACTATCTGGGGGAGGATCTGGAACGGATGTACTAGCGAAGTGTGGTGGAGGTAACTTAACTATTGGCTGACCCTGAGGTGTCACAAAATCCCTATGTCTGAAAGGCCTGTGCACCAGATCTTCACCAAAAGCTGTTCTATCCCCCACCTGTTGGTCAGCTAGTTAAAAGGGAACCGGTGTGATGCGCAGCCCTCTCCCCCTGCCAAAACTGAGAGGAGTCATGTTGGATGTACCAAAGTCATTGAAACTCATGCTCGATGATAAAAGACCCACTCGACCACAAGCAAATATGGCTGTTGTTCGCTAAACACAACTGAGAGTTTGAAACTACAAAAAAAGAACCTCAGCTCCAAGTTGAAGTTGGAGAGAAGACACCTGCCCGGTCCGGCGTAGGTCATGGACGAGTCAAAAAAAACGGACAATAAACATATCACTAACTTAATGAAAACATGGCAACTTTAAACAAAGACAACGGGCATCTAAAATAATAAAGCTAGCTACACCATGAATGAAATGAGTAAACATTTTCCACGGACATAAAAAAGAAACGTTACCTTCTTTTAATCCTCCATTTCCCTGAGGATTACCCACAATCCTTCCTTTTTACCGTCCGTTTGGTTTGTGTACCACTTTGTGGCAGTAGATGGCGTAGTTCAGCCAATTTAGAAGTACAAGAAAAAAACGGAACAGACTTAAGGGGAAGACAGTAAACATGCTGTTGTTCCTTAACAAAAACTTGTGAATGATGGAAAGTGTCAATGTTGGATGCTTTTGTTGAAGTGTTTTCCTGTTAACATGTTCATGTAACGTGAATTAAGATGCAACCCTTCATTTTTATAGTGGTTCTTATTTTTGTTTATTATTCTGATAATTATTCTAATGGTTTTATTATTTACTTATGATCTTTTTTTAGTGATGGAAACACCTTTTTCAAACACTCTTGTTTTTCTGTTGTTGTAATAGCTCGGCTAGCATATTGTCAATGAGGCCGCTACCTTTTTAGTTTAAAGTTTAAAATAAATAAATAAATAAGTGACTATGATGTCTTGTATTCTTAAGTTTTGTATTTAAAATACACTACTTTTTCGGTATCGGTATCGGTATTGGATCGGTATCACCGATATCAGCCTGAATTTTACTGAATTTTAATCTGTGGTATCGAACATCACTACTGGTCGGCGGAACTGCCGTGCACGGTAAAAGGACAAGAAAAACGCCTGGTGACGCGTGGGGAATATGTCAGAGGGACGAGCACACATAATTAGGAGAAAATCCGGTCAATTTTCAAAATAAAATATTTTTCCGAAAAAAAAAAAATATCAGCTTTCTGTGGTGTGGCCCGGTGGTTGGGGACCACTGAGCTAGAGGACAAGAGACATTCAGGGGAAAATATGTCTATCCCCGACATTGAAAAGACGTTGCAAAATGATTTCAAAGTGAACGTTTTTTTCAATGTCTATTTTAGATCACATTTCAACGTGATTTTTTATACTATTTTAGAGGTTTAAAAAGAAACTACGTCCACATTTGTAAGTTTACCACCGATATTTAAATCACGTTAAAAACGGGTCTAGCCGATACGTGAACCACACATCTACGAATAGACGTTGTAAAAACTTTCACTTTTGAAGAATTTTGCAACGTCTTTTCAACGTCGGGCCATAGACGTCTTTTAAACGTTGTTTCAACGGATGAATTGCTCAAGTTACATGCTTCATCACAGTTGTCGTGTTAACAGTCCTTAACAACGACAAACACATTGATTTATTAATTTGTATTTAATATAATAATAAATAACACAACACTATATACATAACACTTTCCTAATTAAAAACAAAAGAAAAATAAAATATATATTTCAGGGAAATAAACAATGGAATTATAAGTGCAGAAACAACATGGACAAGTTAGTTTAGAATTCTGTGTTTGTAGTTCATTTTCAGATTCTGTAACAAGATCTGGCTCTGAGTCACTTGAATTGGGATAGTATACCAGTAATCAGCTGCATTTCCCTCATCCTCACTTGATGATTCTTTGTGTGAAGGGAGTCAGAGTGCACAGAACACCCCTCAATTGCAGATTCCTCTGGTCAACGTGTTTATTCAATTCAAATCATTTTATTTAGTTGTTGGAATGCATTATTGATGGAATGCATTAAGCATTCCAACTATTGTTCTTCGAATCTTTATTCAACATATTTGTATTATTCTATTTCTATAGACTATGACTTTTCACCTTTCTACCTCTTATGCTTGTATTTATATAAATCAATAATCATTAATATTTTAACATGGTTTTCAAAGGGAGTTTGTTTTCAAATCCTCTTAAACTTCTTCAACTTTCAGCTTCGCCAATCTTTCAGCTACAGACATCATTTAAACTTTCACACAAGTCTCAACTATTTTATAAAAAAAACTGCTTGTTGATATCTCTTCTACTTTTGTCATAATCACTGATTATGTTTCACTAGTTCTTCGCTCCGTTTCTGACTTTTACATGAGTGTGTAGTGCGTTTCTTAGAGGGCGACCTCGAGGGCTAGAGTGTGAGGCAGCGCCAGAATCTGGTTAAAAAAATATGGAACTTCGGTCCTTCCAGCCAAAGTATACACTTACATTTCTTTGGATTAATGATGGCATGGTTGTGCTGATTGGATTAATGTGGCTATGGGATCCCAGAGTTCTTTAGTTTTGGCCTACGGAGACCAACAGTCACAGGACCTCTGATAAAAGCCCCATAGGCTCCAATACAAATCTGCCGACATATTTCTAAAACATCCAGAAGGTACAGGTTTTGTAAACGGCCACGGGAGCCGTATTTATTACCGGACAGACATGAAAACGACATCTTTGCGTTTGGTAGAGTCTTATGTCTCGCACAAACGTCTTATTTTTTAGATAGCTGTTATAGTTTTGCGCGAGGACACTTGTTTGAGGTGTGGTTTCTTGGTAAAATCCGTTCACTCTGCGCGGTTCACTCTGCGCAGCTAACACGGCGCTAGCTAGTAGTGATGTGTCGGTCGCGAACGAAACGGCTCTGAGAGCCGGCTCTTTGACGTGAACGACGGGAGCCGGCTCCTGATTGGGAGTCGCTTTGTTTTTGTTTTTTGTTTCTCTCTCTCTCTCTCTCTCTCTCTCTCTCTCTCTCTCTCTCTCTCTCTCTCTCTCTCTCTCTCTCTCTCTCTCAAGCCGCATTTTATCGGTCAATATGTGTGGTGGCGTCTCTGTGCCGCGCTGAGCACAGGGGGAGGGGCGGGACTTACACACACAGCAGCACAGCACACAGCAAGCAAACAAACAGGGAGGCGAGTCACAAGAGAGAAAGAGAGCAACGGACTGCAAAGGTAAAAAAAGAAAGTTAAGAAATTGAGTGTCAACAGGAAACGCAGCAAAATCTGGACATATTTCAATTACATTGACCTAAGGCAGAATGTAGAGTCTGCAAGACTAAAATCTCTGCACGCCACCCCAATCGAGCTGGCTCCACAAACAACCTGCACAGGCACATGAGAACTGTCCATCCTTTAGTCCAATTGGAAGACAAAAGACAAGAAAGTGAACCTGATAGTAATGAAGGTGCCAGTATGTCTACTACAACTGCAACTGCAGTGTCTCCAGCATCGTCCAGTACACCACCACAACCACCTGAAAGTACAACCCAGAGCTATAGACAAGTTTCCTGAGTGAAATAAGCGGGCCGCCATTGGCCTTTCACTCTGCCAACGACTTCCGGTTGTGTCTGCAAAGCACTTCCGGTTAGCGAGTTAGCGTCTTTTACGGTCTTTGGTGAGAGTGCAGAAAAAGTCAACTATAGATGGTGTTACACGCCGACCTGGCTCCGGGACATATTGTGCTGTTCACGGTTGCAACAACTCGTGGCGATTGCTGAATGTTTGGTCGGAAGGAGAATGTTTCGACCATCAACCATCTACAAGGCGCCAATGTGGATGTGCTCCCCCGTATGCGTTGTATGAGAAACCAAAAACAGATGTTGAATCTCGGAAGTGGCTAGCGGCTTTGACGTTGAAGAATCCGCCCAAAAGACTGTTTGTTTGTTCTTATCACTTCGTTGATAAAAAGCCCACAGAGGAAAACCCTTTCCCGGAACTTTGGTTGGGATACGAGCGACCTCCTCAGCAAAAGAGACGTAAACTCGACAGAAACACAAGTGACACGCAATCGGATGGTAAGTGTATCTTGATATTTTTCTGGTTTGCAGCATAAGTTCGACTGTTGATATAACGTTATGTGTCTCTGTCCTGTGTTAGTAGGGTATATACATTTATAGTTGATGCTGTTTGTCTTTTAGAAGTGTGCATCGAGCCGAAGTTTAAAGATGCTGCAACACAATGGGAGGACCTAACAAAAACTGACCACACGCGGCAAAGTTGGACCACGTGAACAAATCGACGCAGACTGAGGGTCAGACTGTGGCTGATGATATGCTCCTGGATGATGATACCTCGCTGCTGTACACAGGACTGTGTCTATTATATTTTTTTACTTTGGTGAAAACGATGTTGCCATTTAGTAAACCATCATGTAGTATTCCTGTTGTTGACCAAATACTGATGACCCTCATGAAACTGAACTGAACCTTGTGTTGGGGGATGTGGCAAAGCGCTTTAAAGTGTCTAAAGGTGAAGTAAGTAAGGTGATTGCTCACTGGATTGATACATTGGGTGAGCAGCTTGAACCCATGGTTGCCTGGCTGCCAAGAAGTGTTATTCGTGCTAACATGCCACCATCCTTTAAAAAGAACCACCCCCAGACCACTTGCATCATCGATTGTGCTGAAACGGCTATTCAGAGAGCTACAAACCTTAACTGTAGGAGTGCCACTTTCAGTCATTACAAGGGAACCAATACTGCCAAATATCTTGTTGCTGTGTCACCTCAATGTTTATATCAGAGGCCTATGCTGGTAAAAGCAGTGATAAGTTCATCACTATAAACAGTGGGTTTCTGGAGGCCCTAAGGCCTGGTGATGAGGTAATGGCTGACAGGGGTTTCACGATTCGAGATGTGCTACATGAAAGGAAGGTGAAATTAAATATTCCTGCCTTTACCTACAAGCGTGGTCAATTGACCAATGAGCAGGTAACGCGCACTAGACGAGTGGCCAATGTCCGTATATATGTGGAGAGGGCAATCCGAAGACTTAAAGTCTTCAAAATTCTGTCCCAAACTGTCCCCATCTCCATGACCCCGAGGTTGGACAAGATTCTTATCATATGTGCTGCTTTAGCAAACATGAGGTCCAGACTCATCCGACTGCCATATGAGGTGTAAGTCCTTATGAAAAGTAAAACCTGGATCATCTGCAGTTTTTTTTTTTGTACATATTCCTTTTATATATATTTATATATATATATATGGTAACACTTTATTTTAAGGATCAGAAATTAGACACTAATTAATTACTAATAACTGCATTTGTAAGTAACTAGTTATACTTGTGTGCCATTACAAGCTATTTATAAGGCCTTTATTGGCTGTTCTCTTATTTTTGTCTTATAGCCCCTTTATATTTGTTTCTGTCCTAACAATCTACTAATTAGCTAAAAATAAATCAAACTAATAGCTTGTACTGTGCCAATTACATACTTTGCAAATTTAAATGTCTGTTGAAATGCCCATTCTATATTTATTTCATACTTATAAGCTACAACAGCCAATAAAGGGCTAATCTAGTCTAATTTCTGATCCTTAAAATAAAGTGTTGCCATATATATATAAATAAATTTCAGCTAGAAACCTGTGTAAATTTATTGTTATTGTTCTCTTTCTGGTATTGTGATTATTAGTAAGCCAAAACAGAGTTTTAACTAAGAAAAACTTGTGTGAGTGCTATTCTTTTTCTTGTATTGTAAATATTGACACATGACAATAAACAATTTGATTTTTCAGAAGAAATGAATTAATTTTTATTGATCCTATTCCATAACAAAGGGACAATTTCATTAACTCCTTAATGGCTGCATTTTTTTAATAATTAAATAAAAACAAAGTAAATACAGGAAAAAATCTCAAAATATTACAAAAAGACGAATAAAATAAAATATTAAATAAATAAAGATAAATGATAAGTGACTGATATAAAAATAAATAAAAGTAAAAGAAAATTAATTAATTAAACAAATCAGTTTGATAAAAATAAATAAAAGCTAGAAAGGATTTGTCACCAATTTGTGACCACAGGGGACAAGGGGTTCAAAAAGGAATGACTAATCACCCCAGTACACATAAGGAGGTCATGCTGATTTTACAACATTCATGTATCTGGAGCACAACTCCAGCCTTCCATCATCGAAGTCATCGACAACCTTTGGCAACATGTGGGTGAAATAGAAGGAGTGTAGCCTTGAGATATGTCCCTCAACAAAGGTTTGGTCGTAGGGCACGTTGAGCTGCAGACATTCAGTGTTACTCCAAATTACCAACAAGGCTTGCCGTAGGCCTGTGCAGTGCATGCCCAGTTGCACCTGCATGTAATATCCCTTTGGCCCATTGAAGGACAGATGGAAGTCCCCAGTGGGCATGCGTTTGATCTCACTGCTTTTAGCAGCAAGTGCTTCAGTAAGGGACTTGTTTTTGACTAAGACAGGGCACTTTATCTCCAGTAGTGTGTCTCTGTTCATGACACCATCCGGACTCGCAGCAAGCCATGGCTCACTCGGGCAAACCACCAAACCTTTCACATCGATGTCATGACCTTGGTCTTGCAGGTATTGCCTGGCGTGCTCTTCACCCTCTGCTCCTTGCCGGGTTGCCGTGTTACCGTGAAAGGTAGGATGGAGGTGTTCAGACAAGAATTTGTCTGGTGCTGTGGTAGCCCGAACTGGCACATTCTTGGCTGTGCTTGCTGTTATCCGTACCCGTCGCATGTCATGCCACAGTTGTTCCCTGCTCTGTTCTTTTGTGTGCTGCTCAATGTACATAAATTGGGTTGTGGTCATGTCAATGTATGTGGTGTAGAATGCCCTACATTTCTCACATTCAAGTTGTGTGTTGTGATCACCATGATGTAGGGGCAGTGGAGCTTTTGATGTCTCGGCAGACTGAGCAGGGAGGCTGGTGTTAAAAGTGAGCTGCATTAGTCCACTGCCAGGTGCAGTAAAAAGGGCCGTTATTGGTGTGGAGAGACAGTAATTTTTCCATTCTTCCAGTGTCTCATGGACTTTTACCTTGCGACTAGGTGTAGAGACTATGCTGGAGGAGGATGCATGTGAAGCTGGTTGGTATAGATTATTTCTGCTGTGTCTTCGGAAAGACACGTCTCTGTTTTTTGCTGCCCAGTATTGCTTTTTGTCCCGGCATTCCAGCAATTCTGCACATCAGTGCAGGCAAGCCCTGTCTTCCCTTGCCTCACAGCATTTGCTACCTGCAGACAGATAGAAACAAAATCACACACTTTTTAAATAATGGTTTGAGCATCACAGCACAATTGACTTCTTTTAGAGACAACATTTTGTAAATTAAAATAACAAGGGTATGATGAAGGTAGAGCGTTTTTGTTACTTTTCAAAACAATTAATGAGCTGGGCCTGCAGCAATCAACATCAATGTTTAACCCCTTAATGCCTGAATTTATTTAGACTTATATAAAAAAAATCTGGAAAAATATGAAAAGAATAATAAAACAATAGAAAAAAATATAATTAAGTGTTAAATAAATAAATAACATTTAACAAATTGATAAATTATAAGTGAATAATATAAAAAAAAGAGTAAAAGCAACCAGATAGATAAAATAAATGAGTTTGATAAAAACATGTCTCTGTTTTGCGGTAAAATGCTATAGATTTGCACTCAAATACGGAAGGCTTATTATTCGCGGAAGTCAACACAGTCTACTAATTATTACGCAGATGAATGTCAGCTTTTTCATAGAAAAAAAAGTAAGTTAATACCTTTATCCATTCCGAAGCTATTAACAGATATGTCAGGGGTGCGCACTTTGACGCTCGTCAGTCGACTTTGAAGGGTTAAAGCATGCTTTTAGTGCAGGCAGGCTAGAGGGGATTACTTTTTCTTTTTATTACTCTTCGTGTTCTGTTATATATTAACACACGGATTCATACAAACATCTTAATACAAGCATAAGATGAGCTAACGTACCTTCCAAAGCACGGCGGTCCGGCGATACAGGTACAGCCTGCAGTCTCCACATCTCCCGTCTTGGTAACCAAAACCCAGGCGTTATGCGCTGAATTGTTAACGGACTGGCTTGGTTGAACATCGGCTTTTAGGTAAATTAAACTGCCCATATAGTGTAAATGTACACAGCCCACTTTGTCGGAATGGAGGTACTGAAACGCCTCTGAGCTTTTCAGGTTTTTAATTGCATTCCCATCCACCGCCACGGAATCAATAAAATAAGAAAAGATCTTGGATGTTGTGATGCTGGGCCATATCGACATGTTGTCCGCCCATGATGTTACCTTACTTGGATGCCGAATGGTCAAAACACCATTTTTAACCAGATTTTCGGTCGAATGTTGCCATTCCAAAGCCATTTTTACACCACTACTCAGCCTGCGCCGGAAGTTCTTGGCAGAAACAGGAAGTAAACCGGAAGTGCCCGGGAAACTTGTCTATATGAGCCAATTTTTGCAAAAGTCTATGACCGCAGCAAGACAGAAGACAAATGATGAAAAACTGGCCAAAATGATTGCATGTGATTTCCAACCATTTTCAGTTGTGGATGACAAAGGATTCAGAAGGTTTATTCATACACTGAATCCAATGTATGCAATTGAAGTTTAAAATAGTTAAAAGTTAGTAAAGTTCATTTGCAAACAGTTAAACGTTTGTTTTTGCACTTTCTAATTTATTTATCACTCTGTAGAGTGTATAAATAAAAGTGTATTTATATAATACACATTTGGTATAGTGTTTTTTTTACATTAGTAATTCATATTGCACATCATTTTACATTATTGTTGGTGATAAATAAATTTAAGCACCAAAAAATCAGAAGAGCCATTTGGGAGCTGAAAGAGCAGGCTCTTTTTAGTGAGCTAAGCCAAAAGAGACAGTTCTCTAAAAAGAGCGGTAATTCCCATCACTAGTACCAAACGGCTGACAAGTTGCTAAAACAGCCAGTGAAAATCTCTCATGTCTTTAGATAGCTAGCGAGGCTGTCTTTGATTGCCTTTGTGGCACTGACTCATGCAGACATAATACTACCGGCATTACTGCTATTAATACTTCAACGACTACTCATTTTACTACTACAACTAGTGGTATTACTACAAATGATACTATTACTATCACTACTACTTCTAGTATTTCTACTGCTATTGAAATGACTATTAGTAGTAGTACTAAAATACTACTTCTAGTAGTGACTCTGCAACTGACACGACTAGGGAAAAGTACTACTAGTATTTCTACTGGTATTAATACTACAATTACTACTAATGTTACTACAAATACTATGACTAATAATATTAGTATTCCAGCTGTTTCTACTGCTATTGATACTTAACCTACTATTGCTACTTCTACTGCTAGTACTACTCATACCACAATTACAAATATAACTAATACTACTACTAATATTACTACAAACAATTTAAAACCTCTTTTTATTCATCTCAGCTTTTGTCATTTCTGTATTTTTAAAAATTCATTTAAGCTCCCGCAACTTCTGTATTTTTTAGGAAATCTATTGAAATTCAGCTTCTCCCATTTCTGTATTTTCAGCAGTTCTTTCAAATAATTTCAGCTTTTATTATGCCTGTATTAACAGAAATGTTTTAATATTGATTTCTGTATTTTTTGCAATATTTCACATTCATTTCAGCTGTTTTAATTTCTGATTTTTCAGCAAATCTATTTCTATTTCAGCTTCTCCCATTTATGTCTTTTCAGCAATTTCAAATTAATTTATGTTTTTCTAATATCTGTAATTTCAGAAAATGTATTCAAATTCTTTTCAACTTTCTGTAATTTCAGCTATTCATTCATTTCAGCTTTCATCTTTTGGCATTCCAACGCATTTTCAGCAGGAAACACATTTTCTAGTTAAGCTTTGCAATCTATAAACATGCAACATCCTTTCACAAAACCCCCAAAATGTAAAAAACCTTCAACCAGGAGAAACCTGCGGGAAAACAGCAGAGAAGTAGGTGTGTAGAGTATGAACAACTTAAAGCTGTACAGTGCATTCAAATTCTATGACAGAAATGATTCTAATATTGAGAGTAGTAAGCCAGGTGTAAGGCAGCACCACTGCAGGCACAACCACCATCAGATGTAACCTCCACCAGATGTAACCTCCATTCCCAGAAACCTATGAGGAGGGAAAGCACAAGACTTCAGGGAAAAGGGAAAGTTGGTAATTTGGGTCTATGATGACAGTAATAATAAAGTGACTAATAATTATGATAACAGCAGCAGGTGTGTTACCCTCTCTACTCCATGCGCCATGATGACACAGTTCATTCATTATTATGAAAATTTTAATGTTATCGTCTCTCTTTCAACCTTACGTTACAACATGGCACATTTATCAACAGATTGACAATTTTTGGCACGTTGATGTTTCATCCACTAATTAGCCAGTTGAAAAGACGTTGAAAGGAGGTCTTAGACGTTCAGACCTAATTTCAACCAGATTTCAACATTGAAATTATGTCTTGTGCTCAATGGGAGAGACCGAAATGCGTGACTGTCACGCTCAATGCGTGACACTTTAGAGCCCCGTCAACATGAATTTAATTTTTGAGGCTGTATTTGTATTGTTTTGTACTTACTGGGGTGCCTTTTAGTTTTAAAAAATGGGTTTCATTAAATGATAATAAACATCATTCAGGATAATGCAACAAATCAACATGAAAACTGGAGGGATAAACTTGCAGTGCAGAAATGCCAAAATTTTACCGTTCACTAAAGACCATCCATAAAGTAGTCACTATCTGTCTTATCTATTTATTCTACTAAAAAAGTGTTATTGACCATCTTATTGTTAGATTTCTTATTTCTTCTCACATATCATTTAAAATAGCAACTGAGTGTAAATGGATGCTGTGTTGTTTGGGGATTTTGACAGGCGAGCAGCAAAGATGGAGTCCAACCACGGAGGGGGGTCTCAGTGTCGGGGAATCCGTGGGGGAGGACAACTACTTTCTAGGATACGCCTTCACCAATCGCTTCCACCGCAACCGGGTGGTGAAGAGGATCGTGCCTGGAAGAAGGCTTGTTCGCTGATGTCACCATCACCGTGAATGGCATATAATTTAACCTGCATCGGCTAGTGCTTTCAGCACAAAGCAGTTTCTTCCGCTCCATGTTCACCTCCAACCTTAAAGAGTCCCACAACTGTCAAAAATCCCACGCTGTATTGAACTGAAGGATGTCAGCGCCATTTTCTTTCAGCTGCTGATTGACTATATCTATGATGGCACAATTAAATTGAAGGTGGAGGAGCTTCAGGATACCTACGAGATGGCAGGTCACTGCACTGTTTGAGGAGTGTTCCCGCTTCCTCTCTTGAACAGTAGAGGTCAAAAACTGCCTACAGGTGACTCCCTGTTTTCACACATTTCAGCAGTACTTGTGAAAAAAACTAATTTATCAGTTATGATTTGCTGTTCTTGTCCAGGTGATGTGGCTAGCAGACATTCACAGTGCCCAGGAGTTATATACTGCAGCAAAGCATTGTGCTAAAATCCACCTGGTGCAGCTGCATCAGACTGAGGAATTTGTTAATCTGCCTCTCTGTCTTCTCCGGACATCATCAAAGGTATTACCCATGACTTATTCCTGTATGCCATGACGTCCAAAATGCTGTTTTCCCATCTGCTACAGTGTTCTGTGTTATCTCTAATACTGCTAGCCAGACGGTCACAGCTAGCACAACATGCAGTTAGAAAACACATATAATTCTCTGGGCCTTGTATTTGTGTCCAGATGGAGTTACGAGCTCCCAGAACCCGACAGTGGTCATTGAGGTGTGGATAAATCACAACAAGGTGGAGAGAGAGGAGTTTTCTTGTATTCTTCAAGAAAATCTGAAGGTAACATTTTTTCATCGGAGAGTGGTGTATTTCTTCTTTATTATGATATAGTCTGATGTGTCTTTTGTACGTACACAGGAAATCGGTGAGAATGTCCATATGTCACGTACGGGGTGTGGTAACCATTGTAAATGTAATTGGCGGGTGTGCAATGGGTAAATGTAAAACAACGGGAAAGGACTGGAGATGATTGACCCTGAGATGGACAGACTGTGATTGGCCAAGGCAATCGTTAATAGCTACTGCAGAAGAAGCCCAAAGAAGACCAGACAGCTGGACTGCTGGGTCCAGCTGGCTGGTGTTAACTTGGGAGGTACCATCTACCTGCTTGGAGGGGAGGAGAACGACATGGACTTTTTTACTAAGCCTTCTCAACTGATTGAGTGCTTTGCCACCGCCTCCCAGAAGTGCCAGATCAAACCGTACATGCTGCCATTTGCGGGCTGCATGTATAGATCTGCTCTAAATGTATTTTCTCAGCTGCTTTTTGTGTTACTTCGGTATATTGTCTAAGTGTATTATGATGTTGTGGGTTAAATGTCGTCTGATGTCCAGTTTTAAATAAATCATGCATAAAGATGATTATAGAGGGTGTTTTCTAACCTTTCAATGTTTCAGTTGTCTTGAAATTGTATTTTTTTGTTTACAATGTACATGTTCAGGTAAACCCTAAATTGTCAGATATGTAGATGTAACTACAATATGTCTCTTTCACTATGTTTATTACCAGAGATTCTTGCAACAATCCCTTTAGAAACGGTGCATTTTATTGCTGTTTAGCTATTGACAGCTTTTCCTCCACAAAGACATAACCCCTAACTGTATTTACTTTTGGACAGGGGAGTTGAAGGAGAGAAAGCTACTACAGAGAAGGCAAAACTTTGATCCCATTGATGTGTTGCAGGAGGCTGTGCAGCTGAAACCCAAGCCCAGTAACATCAGATTTTGTGAACTATTCTAAGCATCGGTTGCTGACGCCAAGATGAGGGGTGGGGGCTTCTGGTGGGCACACATGCACCTCCATAAGAGCTCCCAATTAAAACCTACGGCCATTACGAGCACTGTCTGACTTGCAGTCCATTATTGAGGCAATAATGCTGTTAATAGCAGCTCACTGCCCATGTGGGACCCGCTGAGATCAGTTTGCGGATGTGTTTTTGATGCTCAAGGGGATTGTGATGTAAACGTATTTGGTCAGTGAGTGAGGTTTAGTGCAAAGGTAGATCGCTAGGAGCTGTAGTGACCTTGGGTCTGCTTGCTGAGGGCAGGACAGAATTCCTGAAGGCACACATGGTCCAGAGTGACAAGGCCATCTGCTGTAGCGCCAGCAGGAGCAGGAAGGGGGAGCGGGGTGGACTCGGGTGTGTTGAGAATTCCTTTCGCTGGAGCGTGGGGGAAGAAGATATTCTGGGATATCACTGCTAGCACTCGATCTGGAAACCATTTTTTCTTTGGCATTTTTCAAGAGCAAAACTGACGGGAGAATTCTAAAACACTTGATGGTGAGACAGGATCATTGCAGGTTTAAATGGGGAAGGTATTTTTCCAGCCTGGCTGTTCTCCTAGAAGCGACTGGTGAAATTGGTCTTTGTGTGTTGCCGTTTCATTTTGGTGGATTCAGTTTCCTCCCCATCTCAGCACAGTCAGAGCTGAGAGAGAAGGATCTGGTAGGCCGTCTTGCAGCAACCAGTGTTGGAGGATCATCTTGAAGGGATTTTCTTTGGAGTTGCTGTGCATGGCAAAGATCTACATTCTTGCCGCCTAACTGAAGTGGCATGGCCTAAAAAAATGAATATTTTTATGAGGCGCCTTGCACCAGAGATGGGCCAGGACCAAACCAAGCAGCAGATAGAGAAGGGCGTGAGGTTGTATCAGTCCAATCAGACGGACAAAGCCCTGCACGTCTGGACTAAAGTGCTGGAGAAGACCTCAGATCCTGGAGGGAAGTTCCGGGTGTTAGGGTGCCTGATTACGGCTCACTCGGAAATGGGGAAATATAAAGATATGCTTAAGGTAAGCCTCCCCTAAAAATTGCAGCTACATAGAATTACTTTAGTTTATTTATATGGTCGGTCTAAATGTCAATTTTGTCACTTTGAATAATATATGTCAAAACCACCTGGTATTTTATATATATGTGATCATGTTGCGTTATGCAAATAGCGCTGTACATACAGTCAAATGTTTGGACACATGTTCTCATTAAATTCATTGAGAAAATGTGTCCAAACCTTTGACTGGTACTGAATGTGTATTCAACTAGCTACCCTGTCGATTTATATAAAGCATCTCCAGTTCGCGCCGTAGTACATTTCTACAACGATTAAGTGGCCATTGAACAAGAATAGGTCCATCTACAGTGATCTTGAGAAGCATGGGTTAATTTGTGGCTTCCACATGATGCAGAGTAAATGAGTGTCCTGCAACCCGAGTATCAGTGTGGGGTGTCTTCTTGACCCAACCATCTGTATTCAAGCTGCACCCGCTCTCTTTTAACTTTGCTTTTATAAGGAGTTCATAAATAAGAAGCCCAATGTCTTTGAATAAATCCATCATATTTTTCATTTATCCAGTGTATTTTTCTTTCTCTTTCTTTTCTCTTTGCAGTACACTCTCTATCAAATCGACACAGCCAGAGAAATGGAGGACCCAGACTACCTCATAGAAGGATACCTGAACTTGGCGCGCAGCAATGAGAAGCTGTGCGACTTCCAGAAAACGATGTCCTACTGTAAGACCTGTTTGAACATGCAGGGCACCACGGTCAGCCTGCAGCTCAACGGCCAGGTATGTCTCAGCATGGGCAACGCTTTTCTGGGCCTCAGCGTCTTCCAGAAGGCCTTGGAGAGCTACGAGAAGGCCCTGCGCTACGCACACAACAACGACGACAAGATGCTGGAGTGCAGAGTCTGCTGCAGCCTGGGGAACATTTATGTCCACCTTAAGGTAATTCTTTATGGAATCAACCATTGTTGTCAAAGCTGAATGTGATGGTTTTAATGTGTTTATGTAGCACCCTTAACATTTGTAAGAGTAACCCCTCAGCTTCCAAGGTAGGATTGTTTTTAATGGAATTAAGCTGCGTTTGAAGAATTCACGAATTCACTCGTTCATACGTCATTATTTCATCAAAAGAAACCTGCGTTTGCGCGTTAATAATACTAGAGAGACGTATTTCCTAAATTCTCTTTGTTTGAATGCCGTTAAAGGTTGAATTGTCACTGAAAATAAATAAACAACCTAAAAAACACTTGACTGAGACACTGCCAATTGGTAATTGAGAGGTCTTCATATTCTGCCAACAGGACTACGAGAAAGCGCTGTTTTTCCCATGTAAAGCAGCTGAGCTTGTCAATGACTACGGGAAGGGTTGGAGCCTCAAGTATCGAGCCTTGAGCCAGTACCACATGTCCGTTGCCTACAGGAAACTGGAGCACCTGCCGAACGCCATGGAGTGCTGCGAGGTATTGTCTCTAAAGCTGTCCAAACTGTCCTCAAAGTCTGCACTCAACCCCCGTAAGACAAACTTGCATAGCTTGTGGAGAATGTCTGGGTTTGTTTCCTCTCAATGTCCCTGTTCCCTGATTCCTTTGGTTGTTTGCATGTCGGAGTTGAAGATACATTAGATGTTAGATTAGATACATTAGCAGACAGGTGCGAGCGCCAGTTGTTTTGTTGTACTAGGCCTCAAATCTCGACCAAAATATTCTCAGAGGGGTTGCTTTAAAGTGTTGATGAAGCTTTGGTCTTCACTCTGTTCTAATTATATACTGAGGGGGAAAAATAGCTTGACGTCATAGCTTTGGAGTGCAAAAGTAAAGTAACAAGACCGCAAGGGGCATTTCCAATTTATTACTGCAGCCAAACACATTTAGACAAACAATTTACACATGTTGGCATATTTAAAATAGGAGGATACAAGAGGAGTCATCTTGCATCCTGCTTCTCGTTTTGCGGCATTTGTCAGACTGGTTTATTTGAAAATATACTGAAACTGCTCAATGAAATAAATGCATACAATTTGTAAAAGTGGTTTAATACAATATGGCTTTTCAGGATTCACAAAACAAATAAATGCTCTCATTCTCAGAATGTTTTGGTTAGACGTACTAAGCAAATATTTACTACACAGGTATGATGCTGCTTGATAATTTCCCATCAATAGCTTCCAGCAGAGTTTTGGTATCACAGACGCGTCAGACATATCAATTTCTTCTCAAAAGCCTCTGTCTTCCCCGTCAACAGGAATCGATGAAGATTGCCCTGCAGCACAGTGACCGTCCTCTGCAGGCTCTGTGTTTACTGAACTTTGCAGACATACACCGCTGCAGGCGCGACGCTGATGTAAGAGGCAGCGTTAATTGTGGCAGCTATTTTCATTTAGTCTTAGTCTTGGATGAAAATGCATGTTAGTATTAGTCACATTTAGTCATTTTAATTCTTCTGAGTTTTAGTCTAGATTTAGTCGACAAAAACTAATTACAGTGTAGTCTAGTTTTAGTCAAATTTATTAGGCATATTAAACTTATTTTCTTCCCTTCTCAGGCCCCTGTGTTGTGTCTACAACTGCATAATAGTCTAGTTTGCAGCACTTGGTTGTCCATTAGATATCCCTCCTAGGACAGGTCTATAGCAGGGGTCGGCAAGCAAGCAATGCTTTTGACATGGCCACCGGAAACTTCATGGTCCTTTATTGTTTCCATTGTGAAATTGCTTGTCCCAACAAAAGAGACCCCTTAACGTCCTATAATCAGTGCAATACATGATTTTCCTGGCTGCATCATAAACAAGACGTAATTTCAACGTTGAAATCTGGTTGAAATCTGGTTGAAATAAGTCTGAACGTCTGAGACCTCATTTTAACGTCTTTTCAACCGGCTAAAGATTGGATGAAACATCAACGTGCCAGAAAATGTCAGTTTGTTGATGAATGTGTTATGTTGTAACATAATTCATAATTCATAATAATTAATGAACTGTGTCGTCGTGGCGCATGGAGTAGAGAGGGTGCGCCGGGTTGGTTGTTTGAGCCCCAGCTGCCCCATGTCAAAGTATCCCTGAACAAGACACCTAACCCCTAATTGCAAAGCGTCAGCTAAATGACCTGTAATGGAATGTAACTAGTTGGGGAAATTTGATCTACGCAAAGACGTGACTTCCGTGAACTCCACTCACATCTGTAACGCGCATGCGCAAGTTCTTAGACGCTTGCAGAGCTTCGACCGGGTGCAGCACAAGGCGAAGTTTGTATGGCAGCAGAGCAACATGAATACTCTGTAAGTACGTGGGTGTTTGAATGAACCATAACCATTTGTTTTACATGTGCTGCCAGCTCGATACGGAAAACTTTGTTCTTTTTGGAAAGCTAGTTAGCGTTAGCGCAGGTAGTTTGCTAGTTACCCTGCTAGCTTGGAGCATGCTAGCGTTCAGCATGATGACCTGAACCAAAAGTAATCATCCCTGAATATTTTTGTTTGTTAGGTGTTGCTAATTAGGTTAGGTTGTTACTGTACCCATAACATAGTATTGCCTTTCCCATTTCACATTGAAAATACAAGTTTTTAAAGCAACAGGGGCTAAATACATCGCAAGGGTGAAGGGCTGAATACAACAAGTTGTGGTTTGTAAACAAGAGGGCCAAAACATTGTATGTTACTGTGTGCTTAAAGCATGATACTGTGTAATATACCTGGAAATGTTACTCCAGAAATGCACTAAGTAGCAGATGAATTGTTACCTTGTTTATACTTAAAGATGGAGTGAGCTTAAAGCCAAAACTTTGATCACAACTGATGACCTGAAAGATCTTTTACACACAAGGGTTCTCAGACATCTATACACGAGGGTTCTAACACACCTGCTGCTGTTATCATCATTATTAGTCACTTTATTATTACTGTCATCATAGACCCAAATTACCAACTTTACCATTTCTCTGAAGTCTTGTGCTTTCCCTCCTCATAGGTTTCTGGGAATGGGGGTTACATCTGGTGGAAGTTACATCTGATGGTGGTTGTGCCTGCAGTGGTGCTGCCTTACACCTGGCTTACTACTCTCAATATTAAAATCATCTCTGTCATAGAATTTGAAAGCACACCATTAAGTTGTTCATGCTCCACACACCAGGGGTCACCAACCTTTTTGAACTTGAGGGCTACTTCATGGGTACTGAGTCATACGAAGGGCACCCATTTTGATACACTCTTCTGAAATAACAAAGTTGCTCTGTTTGCCTTTAGTTATATATTATTATTGATACTCATCTATGTGAAGACACTAATCGTCCAAAATAATCTTTTACATTTCATGTATACTCTATTGAACACCATTTTCCGAATTTAAATCCACAACATTTCATGTGAAAAATCTTTTTATTTCACTTGCTAGTGACAACCCCTTTTAACAAATCATTAACTATGTATTGCACCTTGTTTGAAAAAGTAAATTTATGTAATGTTTAAGAAAAATCAACTTACATATTTTCAAATACATCTAATCACATTTTGAACTAATGACAAAGTCTGCTGAATTTTTACAAAATTGTATCTGTTACATTTCACTAACCCTATTAAATTGAACACAATGTATCCTATTTTTGATTCAGCTTTGCAACTGACATCATCTGGTATCTGTTAGTGGGAAGACTGGCATTGCATGCTGTTCACCAGTGTATTGTAGTCTGGTGTGTAACTTGACACTGCAACTCTGAGTGGGTCTTGCAGGTGTGCATCAGTGAGGTGGGTTCTGTGTTTGTTCTTAATGACGTTCATGTCAGAAAATGCTGATTCATAGCTGCTGTGCTTACACCACTTTACTTTTCTGTGTCAACAGCCTGTGTCAAGGCTCCAAAGGTTTGGTGCAGCCTGGTGGGCTTTGAGGTGCAGGTCATTTTGCAATGTTACAATTTCAATCTCCTGAACCCAACTACTACGCCCTCTTTGGTAGAGGCGGAGCTGGAGGCGGAGGAGGGATCATCGTCAATTGGCCTGGTGGAGGTCACTGAGGTAGTCAAACAACTCCGCAGTGGCAAAGCCCTGGGGATTGATGAGATGCGTCCAGAGATGCTAAAAGCAATGGGTGTTGGGGGGTTGTCTTGGATGACACGCCTCTTCAACATTGCGTGGAAGTCTGGGACAGTGCCAAAAGAGTGGCAGATCGGGGTGGTGGTACCCCTCTTCAAAAAGGGGGACCAGAGAGTGTGTGCCAATTACAGGGGTATCACACTACTCAGCCTCCCGGGTAAAGTCTACTCTAAGGTGCTGGAAAGGAGGGTTCGGCCGATAGTCGAACCAAGGATTGAAGAGGAACAATGCGGTTTTCGTCCTGGTCGTGGAACAACGGACCAGCTCTTCACTCTTTCCAGGATCATAGAGGGGGCTTGGGAGTATGCTCATCCAGTCTACATGTGTTTTGTGGACTTGGAGAAGGCGTATGACCGGGTCCCCTGAGAGATACTGTGGGGGGTGCTGCGGGAGTACGGGGTGAGGGGGTCCTTGCTTGGGGCCATCCAATCCTTGTACGCCCAAAGCGAGAGCTGTGTTCGGGTGCTCGGCAGTAAGTCGAAGGCGTTTCCGGTGGGGGTTGGCCTTTGCCAGGGCTGCGCCTTGTCACCAATCTTGTTTGTGGTTTTCATGGACAGGAAATCGAGGCGTAGTCGGGGGGAGGAGGGTCTACAGTTCGGGGGGCTGCGAATCTCATCGCTGCTTTTTGCAGATGATGTGGTCCTGATGACATCTTCCGTCTGTGACCTCCAACTCTCACTGGAGCGTTTCGCAGTCGAGTGTGAAGCGGTCGGGATGAGGATTAGCACCTCTAAATCTGAGGCCATGGTTCTCAGCAGGAAACCGATGGATTGCCTACTCCAGGTAGGGAATGTGTCCTTACCCCAAGTGAAGGAGTTCAAGTACCTCGGGGTCTTGTTCACGAGTGAGGGGAAGATGGAGTGTGAGTTTGGCCGGAGAATCGGAGCAGCGGGGGCGGTATTGCACTCGCTTTACCGCACCGTTGTGACGAAAAGAGAGCTGAGCCGGAAGGCAAAGCTCTCGATCTACCGGTCAATCTTCGTTCCTACCCTCACCTATGGTCATGAAGGATGGGTCATGACCGAAAGAACTAGGTCACGGGTACAAGCGGCCGAAATGGGTTTCCTCAGGAGAGTGGCTGGCGTCATTCGCGAGGAGCTCGGAGTAGAGCCGCTGCTCCTTTGCGTCGAAAGGAGCCAGTTGAGGTGGTTTGGGCATCTGGTGAGGATGCCCCCTGGGCGCCTCCCTAGGGAGGTGTTTCAGGCACGGCCAGCTGGGAAGAGGCCCCTGGGAAGACCCAGGACTAGGTGGAGAGATTATATCTCTGCACTGGCCTGGGAACGCCTTGGGATCCCCCAGTCAGAGCTGGTAGATGTGGCCCGGGAAAGGGAAGTTTGGGGTCCCCTGCTGGAGCTGTTGCCTCCGCGACCCGACCCCGGATAAGCAGTTGAAAATGGATGGATGGATGGATGGACAATTTCAATCTCCACCTGTGCAGCATCCAAGTTGAACGTTGCAATCAGCAATGTCAGTTATGTCCTTGTTCATGAAAGGATTGGAGATTACATTACATTACATTACAGGTCATTTAGCTTTAGAGATGAATGAGATACATGGCTCAAGCTGATCAAGGTCACAAAACCTTTCCTTAAACTCTTGTCCAAGTCTGTTTATGACTTGACAGTACTTTTCTGCAACTTTGTCCATTGCCTCAGATGCAGAAGCATTGTGTTTCACCACCGATCGCACAGAGGGAAAGTGCAGCATTTTTTTTCTCTGTAAATGCACAGAGAAAATGTTCATCTTGGCTTTAAATGCATTTAAAGCACTTATCATGTCAACAACAGTCTTACCTTTGCCTTGCAGCTTGCTGTTCAAGTGGTTTAGTTTCCCAGTGATGTCCGTTAGAAATGCAAGGTCAAGTGTCCACTCTGTGTCCTCTAGCAGCGAGACGTTTTCCCCTTTGGACTGCATGAACTACTTGATTTCACCCAAAAGTAGGGGTGTAACGATTCATTCACTGAATCGATTAATCGATTTATGTTCCTGCGATCCAACTGAATCGATCTGTGCTCTGCAAATTGGCATTCCGGACGACATATATCGATTACAAATCGATTGAAATGGTACATAATCGATTGTATCGATACTTGGAAACTTTTTGGCTTTTGCAAACACGGAGGTGTTTTAAATAAGTCGGTCGCTGTTTGTAGAATATGTAGAAGCCAAATAAAAAACCACGGAAACACGACGAATCTTTCCGGCCATCTACTAAGGCGCCGTGGGATTAAACAACGCCGACAGTCAGGCACCTCTAGCAGCGTTACCGCTGTAGCAGCAGCAGGTAACTCCAGCTCTGCAGACACCTCAGACCTCGCCAGCACCAAACTCAGCATCACAGTAACAATTGCCAAGTTTATCTGTAAAGACATGCGGCCCTACAATGTGGTTGAAAATCCAGGGTTCTGTGAATTGATCCAAACATTGTGTAATTATTGTGTAATGTTTACATTGAAAATGGCACTTGATTCAAATAAAATGTACATTTGCCATCAATTGTTGTTTGCTTGTTTACAATATCCATAATTAATTTAAACCTGATTCCCTTACAAGAAACAACAGAGATCTCAGAAACTTTGCCTGCACTGTCCAGTAAAGTTACTGAATCGATTTCAAGTCACTGAATCGAATAAAATCTAATCGTTCTAAATTAACCCAGATCGTCCATGAATCGAATCGGCAACCATGAATCGCGATTCGAATCGAATCGTTGTTAAAATGAATCGTTACACCCCTAGTAAAAAATAATTCTTCCTCCCATTCACTGTGAAAATGATAAGTTCTCTTCCTTTTTTCTGCCATGTTTTTTGGGGTAAGAGTGTGCGTTCAGCTCCGCATCATTGCTTTGAACTAGAATAGTTCAGAGTTCGACTAAATTATCAAAACTCTCATGTATTATACAAATATTTTTAATTATTTTATTTTAAATATCTTGTCATTTTTATATACATATAAATGCAAGTGTGATTAAAAAAACAATTTATTTAAAATTTTTTTTTTTAGACCGCTTACTAGTGGTGAGTTGTGCTATTTTTAGAACAGGCCTGCGGGCGCCTCATATGGTCCTTGCGGGCAACCTGGTGCCCGCAGACACTGGGTTGGTGACACCTGCCGGTTGAAGGTTTTTTACATTTGGGGGCTTTGGGACAAAATGTTGCATGTTTATAGATTGCAACGCTTAACTAAATAAAATTATTTGAATTGAATAAACACGTTGACCAGAGGAATCTGCAATTGAGGGGTGTTCTGTGCACTCTGACTCCCTTCACACAAAAAATCATCAAGTGAGCATGAGGGGGATACAGCTGATTACAGGTATACTATCCCAATTCAAGTGACTCAGAGCCAGATCTTGTTACAGAATCTGAAAATGAACTACAAACACAGAATTCTAAACTAACATGTCCATGTTGTTTCTGCACTTTTAATTCCATAGTTTATTTGAGTCAGTTTCAGTCTCCCTAAAATATATATTTTATTTTTCTATTGTTTTTAATTAGTAAAGTGTTATGTGTATAGTGTTGTGTTATTTATTATTATATTAAATACAAATTAATAAATTAATGTGTTTGTCCTTGTTAAGGGCTGTTAACACGACAACTGTGACTAAGCATGTAACTTCAGCAATTCATCCGTTGAAACAACGTTTAAAGACGTCTATGGCCCGACGTTGAAAAGACATTGCAAAGTTCTTCAAAAGTGAAAGTTTTTTCAACGTCTATTCGTAGATGTTTAAAAGACGTTCACGTATAGACCCATTTTCAACGTGATTTATAATATCGGTGGTAAACTTACAAATGTGGATGTAGTTTCTTTTTAAACCTCTAAAATAATGATATAGCACAAAGAAGAGGACGAAATATTACCATGTAAGAAAATCACGTTGAAATGTGATCTAAACGTAAGACGTCTTTTCAACGTCTACAAATTGACGTTGAAAAAACGTTAACTTTTAAACCATTTTGCAACATCTTTTCAATGTCGGAGATAGACGTCTTTTCTGCAACTTTTCAATTAAAAAATGCTCACTGGGACGCTGCACCGATGTGAGCGTGCATTCTGGGTTCGTGGATGATGTAATCATGACACGTTAATAACCGCCGTACGGCGGCCGTACTTTGTCTGTTAGGTGCAGGCAAATTTAGGGGGAAAAAAGTATTTTCGTCTCGTCTCGTTAAGGAAAGATAGAATAGATTTAGTCATAGTTTTCGTCACGTCTTAGTCATGGAAAAAGGTTAACGAACATTTTTCGTCATAGTTTTTGTCGACAAAATTAACACTGGTGAGAGACCTCCCTCGTGCACACTTGTTGATGACAAGTTTGACTCGATGTATTTATCAATGCTTCCTCACAGAAAGTTTTTACTGAATTGTTTTCCTTTCATTTTTGTTGCATCTATATGATGAGCTTAATTTTGGTAATCCCCTTGATCCACCCAGAAAGCATTCCCTCGCTACGAGTCTGCACTGGGTATAATGACTGAGATTGGAAACCGTCTTGGACAATCACATGTCTACCTGGGAGTTGCAAAGTGTTGGCTTCTGCAGAAAGAATTTGATAAGGTACCTAATATTAAATCTAAATTTCAATGACATATTTCTATTGTGTATTCATAATGAGTGTCTGCCGCTGCGTATTGTTTTCCAGGCTCTTGGTTCTTTACAGCGAGCACAGGAGTTGGCAGATGGGATGGGAAACAAGGTAACCAATGTTACACCAGACACAAGTAAAGTAGAGCTGTAGAACTATTTATCCATATTATCCAGATTTAATCAACATGTAGTTTGCTAATCAAATGCTCATATGTATCATCTTTTAAGCAATAAGCAAAAACATTTGCATAACTAACAGAGTTGCAGACTGAATACAGGATGTTTCACGCAATAAGAACAGCAGATGGCGGTGTTCTATGTCACTTTGGGATGGACACTTCAGCGATCTGCGTTGAGCCCTGGACTCCTTATCTGGACAAATGTGGTACAGCTGAATGCATATGTTTTGGGGGAAGACTAGCAAATATTTGTAACAGTTACTAAAGACAGTGACTTTGACAAAGCCCATATAAATCCTATGTGAGATATCATCTTGAATTTGCAGGGCTTTTTCTGTGGTAAAATATATACAGAAATAACAAAGAAAGATTCAGATATAATTAAAGCTGCGAGCAGCGTTGGACGGGTCCTCGCAACTCCGTTGGTCGGGGCACCGGCCGGACGGCAAGATAAGCAGCCGAGAACTCCTGCGGCCGTCAGACAAAGCATCCGAGTGTCAGTTGTCGTTAACAACGTGGAACGAAACCGCTTCATTCTGAGCTTCATGGTTAAGGTACAGATAATTATTGAGGCTTTTATTTTGTGATGATGGAATTGGGTCAGGGGGGGTTGGGAGACAGAATGTTTGTTATTCAAACTAAGAAGTTTTTAATTAATAGGCCTCATCACAAACATTACAGTAAGAATTCCCTCCATGGGGCTTTTATTTTGAAATTATTGGATTGGGTGGGGTGGGGGGGTGTAGATTGAGAGAGGGAGGGTGAGAGGGTGAGGAAGGGAGGGGTGGTGAGGAAGAGAGAGAGGAGGAGAAATAGACAGACTGACTGAGTGAGTGATTAACAGTGAGAAGAGGTCAGGGGGGAGGGGGGGCGAGTGTCTTTATCATATTGGTCTGTTGACAGAAAGCATAGCTGCGTCATGTGACTCCACTAATCAGGTCATAGGAGCAGCTGTGAGTAGCAGACAGAGATACTGCAGCGTGTGTGCGAGTAACCACGGCAACGGCGCACCTGGGTTCATTAACGAACCGCTGAAAAGGGCAGACACAGGACATCGAGTTACACAGAATCCATACCTCAAACAGTGTCCACCAGCGCAAAACTATAACAGCTATCTAAAAAATACAACATTTTTACGAGACCCGAGACTCTACTGAACGCATGGATGCGTTTTTATGTCTGTCCGGTAATAAATACGGCTCCTGTCGCAGTTTACAAAACGTGTACCTTCTGGATTTTTTGAGAAATATGTCGGCAGATTTGTATTGGAGCCTATGGGGCTTTTGGCAGAGGTTGTGTCACTCTAACACTCAGGAATCCAAAACTAAAGAAGTCTGGGATTCCATGAACACATTAATCCAATCAGCACAACCATGCCATCATTAATCCAAAGAAATGAAGCCTCAAAAGTGTATACTTTGGCTGTAAGGACAGAAGTTCCTTTTTTTTTTTAGCCCTCAAGGTCTCACTCTAGCAACTGCAATACACACTCATGTAGAACTCAGAAACGTAGTGAAGAACTAGTGAAACACAATCAGTGATTATGAAAAAAGTACAATAGATATCAACAAGCAGTTTGTTTCATAACATAGTTGAAACTTATGTCAACATTTGAATGGTAAATGGTGTCTGTAGCTGAAAGATTGGCGAAGCTGAAGAATCTGAAAGTTGAAGAAGTTTAGGAGGATTTGAAAAACGGTCTCCATTGGAAAACCATGTTAAAATATTAATGATTATTGATTTATATAAATTTGAGCTTAAGAGCTAGAACGCTGAAAAGTCATAGCCTCTCCTGAAAGAGCTGAATATTTTAATATTTTAATGGTTTTAATAGCTGAAAGTCTGAAGGAGTTGAAAGGTGCGGCAGAAGAAATAGAATAATAAGATGTTGGAACTAGAAAATGCATTTCCTGCTGAAAATGTGTTGGAATGCAAAAAGCAGAAAGCTGAAATGAACTTAAAAAATCTGAAAATTGAAGAAGTTTAAGAGGATTTGAAAAACGATCTCCATTGGAAAACCATGTTAAAATATTAACGATTATTGATTTATATAAATTCAAGCATAAGAGGTAGAAAGCTAAAAAGTCATAGCTGGAAAGCCGGAAAGAGCTGAATATTTTAATATTGGAACGGTTTTAATAGCAGAAAGTGTAAAGAAGTTGAAAGGTGCGACGGAAGAAATAGAAGAAGAAGGCGGAATAAAGATTCGAAGAACAATACAACAATAAAGATTCGAAGAACAATACTTGGAATGCTTAATGCATTCCAACAATAAAGAATAGAAGAACAATACTTGGAATGCTTAATTCATTCCAACAATAAAGAATAGAAGAACAATACTTGGAATGCTTAATGCATTCCAACAATAATAATAGGTTGAAATAATGAATAGAAGAACAATACTTGGAATGCTTAATGCATTCCAACAATAATAATAAGTATGGGAGATTATAAGGAGTTTGGCTCAGCTTCGCTGGCCACACTCAATAATTCTTCGAAATACAATACAGGTTCCTCTACGACTAGTCGTTGCGAGGACCCTAATAATAATAATCCTTCGAAATACAATAGGTTCCTCTACGACTAGTCGTTGCGAGGAGCCTAATAATTCCATGAAATACAACAGGTTCCTCTACGACTAGTCGTTGCGAGGACCCTAATAATAATAATTCTTCGAAATACAATAGGTTCCTCTACGACTAGTCGTTGCGAGGACCCTAATAAGAATAATAATTCCTTGAAATACAATAGGTTCCTCTACGACTAGTCGTGCGATGACCCTAATAATAATAATTCCATGACATACAATAGGTTCCTCTCTAACTAGTCGTGGCGAGGATCCTAATTAGATATATTTAGATACTAAACTAATTCCACCATCTTTAGTACCATTAACCATTCCCTAATCTTTCAGCCCTTCACTAAAGCTGCATCAATCATTCACACAGTCTACTGGTTGCTGACAGCAGTGTTTTTCTCCTCAAGCTGTCTACACTGAAGGTGCACTGCCTGAGTGAAGGAATTTATCGTACCTGGGGGCAACAAGAGGAGCTCAGGGAGCAGGTGGTGAAGTTCCTGCAGTGTGTGGAGGAGTTGGAGCTCTACTGCGGCATGTGTGGAGAGTCCATCGGGGACAGGGACCAAAAGCTGCAGGCCTTACCCTGTTCCCACATTTTCCACCTCAAGTGGGTGTTCTAGCATGGCGTAATATCTGTTGAAATTTATTCCCAGAAAGGCCTAAGCAGTTGAGACTCGGATGTTTTGTCCTTTCAGGTGTCTGCAGAAAAAGGGCACCAAGGGTTGTCCTAAATGTTTCAAGTCCTCAATGAAGCCTGGATTCGTGTGATTGTGAGCCAGCGTTTGTGCGTTGGATGTGCAGCCTTGTGGGCTCATGGCTGGGAGGAGCAGGCGGCTTTGGAATATGCTGAAGGTGTTTGAGGAGTAATGATTCGCTGCTCTGCAGAGAGGATGCTGAACTGAACCCCAGTGTCGAAGCGCGCGGCTCTGAGGGCCCGATCAAGGCATCCATCTTATCAACAGTAAGATGAGACAATCAGTCTGATGTTTGCTGATGGTGGAAGTACAAGTGACTGATTTCAAGAATCAAGAACCTACGTGAACTCCGGTGAATCTGTATGTTGCAGGATTTAATTCTAGTAGAAAAACGACCGTCTAAAAGCATTTATAACTTATTTATGCGTTGATGATCTTCATGGATCTTAGTCACCGGGTTTGTTGTTCCAGTTCTGATAATATCTTTGACACAATGTCCACTTTTTCTTTAATTAACAGTTTTAAATTTAAAAAAAAATGTATTACAGTACAGAGCCATTTCTGAATTTAACTGATTTCATTCACACTATATCTATAAGTGTACATACCATTGTCATGTTATTTTTGTTTTAAAAGTTTGATTTATTTGAGGTGTTAAAATCTCTTTAACAATTAAAAATTCAGCATGTCTTCAGGTTTGGGTTCCCTTATTCATTGAGAGTACGGAGCCACAACAACGCACATTGTGTTCCTAGAAATTCCTTTTCTGTCCATGTTTAAAACTGACGACAGCATAATATTGTCGCAATTAAAGGACACATATTGTTTCAGACGTTCTTTGACAAATCACACACCTGTCAGATAACCATGTAGAGAAGATGCATTTTAATGTGGTGGTTTCAATTTACAGTGGAATGTACAGTTGTGCTCATAAGTTTACCCTGGCAGAATTAATGATTTCTTGGCCTTTTTTAAGAGAATATGAATGATAACACAAAAACCTTTCTTTCACTTATGGTTGGTTAGTGGTTGGGTGAACCCATTTATTATCATTCAACCGTATTTACTCCTTTCAAATCATAATCATACCAGAAACTACCCAAATGACCCTGATCAAAAGTTTACATACCCTGGTGATGTTGGCCTGATAACATGCACACAAGTTAACACAAACGGGTTTGAATGGCTACTAAAGGTAACCATCCACACTTGTGATCTGTTTGCTTGTAATCAGTGTGTGTGTATAAAAGGTCAGTGAGTTTCTGGGTTCCTGACAGACCCTTAGATCTTTCATCCAATGCTGCACTAACGATTCTGGATTCTGAGTCATGGGGAAAGGAAAAGAATTGTCAAAGGATCTGCGGGAAAAGGTAATTGAACTGTATAAAACAGGGAAGGGATATAAAAAGATATCCAGGGAATTGAGAATGCCAATCTGCACTGTTCAAACTTTAATTAAGAATTATTAAATTCTCCTTCTCAGGCCGGATTTTGCCAGCGTGCATCTCTTCTCCAAGGCCATCAGAAATCCAGGCGACCTGAAATCGGACTAAGTATCTTTTTCTTTAAACCAAGCTAGTCTGCAAAATTTGTTGTTGATTCTAGTGTCTTAAGTTACTTTGATTGCTGATTTGCTTTAGTTCAGTGGTTCTTAACCTCGTTGGAGGTACTGACCCCCACCAGTTTCATATGCGCATTCACCGAACCCTTCTTAATTGGAAAAATAAAATTCAAAACATAGTTATATATTTTACTGGTGCACAAAATGAACCGTGCATCAACATCAGTGTTCAAAGAACAAAACCATTAAAACATGATTTTCACACAAAAACAAAAACATAATAATGAATATTTACTGCAAATCAGTGTGACTTCTGCTGTTGCCTTTCAGAGACCAGTTCAGAAATGCGCGGCTTCACCTTGGCAAGTGCCACTCTCATGTCATTTTCACAACAAAGTCTGTTCCTTTTCTTCGTTTTTATGTCCAGCATCCTCGAAAAGGATTGCTCGCAAAGATATGTTGTAACAAACGGTATGAAAATCTCCAGAGCTTTCTTAGCAATAACAGGGTACCATTTGTTGACACCAAAACGTTGAGAGCAATGTTGTTCTGAAGAGTTGCTGTTGAACCTGGCTCTGCTGAATTTTAATGATTTCATCGAGGAATTCATCATTGTCTCGACACTAAACGTGAACGGCTGTCTCACCCATGCTGGATATGACTCTCTTGTAGGGAAGTATCCGTTGAGAGACTTTGCAAGCTCATCTAAGTGCGTGGTAATTACTTACTTCAGTTCCGCGGGTACAGAAATGTCTCCGATTCCAGATACATCTTCGATCTTACTTACACAGTCGTCCAGCAGGGGAAAGTTTGCGAAGTTATCGTTCTCTGTTCGTCGTTTCCATAACGGTAGCTTTTTTTGAAAAGCCTTCAGGTTTTCTTCCGCTTCGATGATGTTGACTCCACCGCCCTGCATCTGTTGATTGAGATGATTGAGAGCTGCGAAGATATCAGCCAAAATGAGAATGAACTCAGAATTATTTAAGCAATCTGCATGACGACGTTGGTGCTAATTCCACACGTACGGCAAAAGGACGATTCAGCACCTGTCCCCGGGATAACCACCGAACGTTAGAATGGTACAGAAGTACCTCGAATTCAGAGCCCATTTCTTTACACAGCTCACTGAAGATGCGGTGCCTCAGAGCACTATTTCGCACATAGTTCACGCATTCCACTACAATTTTTAATACTTCTGCCAGTTTTGGAGGCAAGGTTTTTGTTGCCAACGCATGCCTGTGCAGAATACAATGAGTAACAATGATGTGTGGTGCATCGGCTTTCACTAGCGCACCAAAACCAGACTTTCTTCCCAGCATGACTGGAGCTCCGTCCGAACAAACTGCAGAAACCATATCCCACGAAAGATTGTTGTCTTTGAAGAAGTCATCCACAAGTTTCTTCACATCGGCTGCCTTAGTTGTTGTCGTAAGAGGCTTACAAAATAAAAAATATTCCTTTATCACGTCGTCTTTCACATAGCGCACAAATACAGCAAGCTGGCTTAGATTGTAAACGTCTGTGGTCTCGTCCAGTTGAAGGCTGAATTTTGCCGGGCTTGAAATCAGATCTGCAACTACTTGAGCCAAGATGTCTTTGCTCATGTCCTCTATTCTGTCGCTAATGGTGTCATTTGAAGGAGGAATTTGGGATAACTTAACTTCAGCCGCTTTTCCCAGCATGATATTCGCCATCTTCAACACAGCTGGTTTTATGAGTGTTTCACCAATGGTGTGTGGTTTGCCCTGCTTTGCGATCAGGTAAGCAACTTCGTACGATGCTGTGAGGATCGGTTTGTTGATGGGTACAAAGCCGAGAACAGGCAGAGTAGCCTTTTCATCGAATCTGTCTCTCTTCACCTTGAATTCAGCGAGCGTTGTGTTCTTGTATTGTCCATCTCCATGCAGCTTAAGGAAGTGTTCTCTTAGTTTTGCCGGTGCTAGACTAGAATTGCTCAACTTGGCATTGCAAATCATGCAGTTAGGACGCTGACTCCCATCACATTCCGTTATACATGTGAATCCATATTGTACATATTCGTCCGACCACTTTCTTTTTTTGCTCGACATAGTTAGTATGACGGGATTAAAATATTAAGAAAGAAATCACACGACGTACCATCACGACAGTCACAATTCGACTACTGAGCGTGCCAAATTCCCTGCAGCACAGATAGGCCAAGCGATGTTGCGTGATCACCTGCAGCCAAAGATGGCCAAGCGGGGCGTGTCATCACGAATCATATGAGTCGGGTGTGTGTTTTTACCCTCCACCGAACCCCTGCGACTGACTCACCGAACCCCTGGGGTTCGATCGAACCCAGGTTAAGAACCACTGCTTTAGTTCTTGCCGTTTTACTGCCAGTTCTCTCTGTTTGAGGTTATCTTGGCTCCTAGTTTGCTCAAACTCTTTAACTTATTTAGTGCCAGTTGGTGCTCTAGACTGTACTATTAACTGCCAGGGTGCCCTCCTAACTCTGCTAGGTTTGACCTGATCTATGTCTGTTTTGCCTTCACTTCTGAATCAAATAAGACTTGAATCCTTAAACTCCCAGTTTGTCAAAACGCCACATGGTGATTGTTCACTGATTATAGTGTCAGGCAATTGGTGTTTTGTATTTTGAGGAGTTTCTGTCGAGGCCAATCGACCTTTTGTCTCCTAAACGACGGGGGAGTGGTCAGCGCTGCCGTAGCCGACTTCCACTAACAGGGAGTATTTAACTACAGATCGAGTGAAGCATTAGCTTCAGGGTTTGCTTATCCTCGCAGCACGAAGACAAGCAGGACAGAAACTAAGGAGTCTTTCGTGGAGTCTTCAGGGCGGCTGAATGCGGCGCCCTCTTCTAGTTTTAATTATGTGTTTGACCCCTTTACCCATACCTGTCCGAACCTCTTCCCGCAGATACTACAGGACTCGGGCCAGATCCGCTCTCTATCGTAACCTTTCCTCTCTCACCTATCCCACCCGCTCCCCTCATGTCCAGCACCTCGTCACAGGAGGCCTCTGGAACTGCCAGTCAGCTACTCGCAAGGCAGACTTCATCTCCGACTTTGCTATCCAGCAGTCGCTTGACTTCCTCGCTCTCACCGAGACCTGGATCACACCTGAGAACACATCCACCCCAGCCGCTCTCTCCTCTGCCTTCTCCTTCAGCCACACACCCAGGCCCACTGGGCAGGGTGGCGGCACAGGCCTACTCATTTCACCCAAATGGAGCTTTTCTCTTTACCCTCTTCCACCACCCACCCCACTGTCGTTCGAATTCCATGCGGTAACAGTTGCTCACCTGGTGCAATTAACCATTGTTGTCCTTTGCCGTCCGCCAGGCTCCTTGGGTCATTTCTTGGAAGAACTGGACATTCTCCTGTCGAACTTCCCTGAAAATGGCCCGCCGCTCATCCTGCTGGGTGACTTCAACATCCAAACAGAGAAGTCATCTAACCTCTTACACCTACTTTCTTCTTTCGCTCTGTCACTCAGTCCCTCTCCTCCTACTCACAAAGCCGGCAATCACCTTGACTACATCTTTACTAAAAACTGCTCTACCACTAACCTCTCTGTAACTCCACTTTATGTGTCCGACAACTTCTTCATCTTACTCTCTCCCACTCTCTACTAACGACCCTGCCCCATTGACTGATTCCTACCTGTTCGTCGCAACATTCGCTCCCTCTCTCCCTCCTCCCTAGCATCCTCTGTTCTGTCAGCTCCTTCCACCGACTCCTTCTCACTCTTGCATCCGAACGCTGCTGAGACTCTCCTCTCAACTCTTTCCTCCCCTCTAGAGTCTCTCTGCCCTCTGACAACCCGACGGACTGGCAAATCCCCTCCGGCTCCGTGGCTGTCTCAAACGGTGCGTGCCATGAGAGCTACCATGCGAGCATCAGAAAGGAGATCGCGTAAATATAAACGACCTGCTTGAATTTCAATCTCTTCTCTCCTCTTTTTCTGTTTCTATCTCTGCTGCCAAAAGCTCTTTCTACCAATCCAGAATCGAATCTTCATTTTCTAACCCCAAAAAACTATTTTCGATCTTCTCCAACCTCCTCGAACCCCCTAGTCCTCCTCCCCCCTCCACCCTTCTCCCGGCTGACTTTGTCAACTACTTTACCAAGAAAATAGTTGACATACGCTCCTCTTTCTCAAACCCACCTCTACTTCTTGCATCCCACTGGCTTCACCTCTTTCACCCTCCTGTCTCCTAACCAAATTCTTACCCTAGTAACCTCTGCCTGTCCGACCACCTGCCCTCTTGATCCCATTCCATCTACAATCTATCGCACCTGACCTTCATCCTTTCCTCACCTGTCTCATAAAAAATGCTCTGTTATCTGGCTGTTTTCCCAATTAACCCCCTCCTGAAGAAACCTACCCTCAATCCTTCTGAAGAAAACAACTACAGACCTGTCTCGCTTCTTCCCGTTTTGTCCAAAACTCTTGAACGTGCGATCTTTAACCAACTCTCCTCCTATCTCCAACATAACAACCTCCTTGACCCCCACCAGTCAGGCTTCAAGGCAGGCCATTCCACAGAGACTGCTCTCCTTGCTGTCTCAGAGCAACTCCACACTGCTAGAGCCGCCTCTCTCTCCTCTGTCCTCATCCTTCTGGACCTCTCTGCTGCATTCGACTCTCTGCTGCATTCGACTCAGTCAACCACCAGATTCTTATTTCCTGCCTTCAGGAACTTGGTGTTCCAGGCTCTGCTCTCTCCCTTCTCTCGTCCTACTTCGACGGCCGCACCTACTGGGTAACCTGGCGACGATCTGTGTCGGAACCTTGTCCTCTTACTACGGGAGTTCCTCAGGGTTCCGTCCTGGGTTCCCTTCTCTTCTCGCTCTACACCAACTCTCTCGGCGCTGTCATTCGCTCGCATGGCTTCTCCTACCACAGCTATGCAGATGACACACAACTAATTCTCTCCTTCCCTCCCTCGGACACCCAGGTGGCGGCACGGATCTCAGCCTGTCTGACTGACATCTCTCAGTGGATGTCCGCCCACCCCCTGAAAATCAACCCTGACAAGACTGAACTACTTCTCTTTCCAGGAAAAGACTCTCCGACCCAGGACTTGACTTTCAACTTCGGCAACTCTGTGTTAACGCCCACTTTAACTACTAGGAACCTCGGTGTCACAATCGACAGCTAACTCTCCCTGACTCCCAACATTACCGCGACAACACGATCCTGTAGATACACTCTCTACAACATCCGGAGAATACGTCCTCTTCTCACTCAGAAAGCTGCCCAGGTACTGATTCAGGCTCTTGTCATCTCACGCCTGGACTACTGCAACTCGCTCCTGGCAGATCTCCCTGCTACCGCCATTCGACCTCTGCAGCTCATCCAGAATGCAGCAGCTCGACTGGTCTTTAACCTTTCTGAAATTCTCCCACACTACTCCACTCCTCCGCTCTCTTCCCTGGCTACCGGTGGCTGCCCGCATCCAGTTCAAAACATTGGTGCTCACCTACCATGCTGTGAATGGATCGGGTCCAGCTTACATCCAGGACATGGTGAAACCCTACATCCCGACCCGCACTCTCCGCTCTGCATCTGCAAAACTGCTCGTCCCTCCCTCACTGAGAGCAAAACACTCGACTAGCTCATGACTCTTTGCTGTCCTTGCTCCGAAATGGTGGAACGAGCTCTCTGAAGACACCAGGACCGCAGAGAGCCTTCACATCTTCCGCCGCAAACTAAAGACACACCACTTCAGACTCTACCTTGACTAAAAGACTAACAAATTGTAGCACTTAAATTGTACTTATAACGCCACTCATCTATAGCAAATTGTAAATTGGCTTATTTGAGGAAATTGCACTTTCTCGTTTCTTGTTCTTCTGAGTTCGTATCCTTATGGTTGAATGCACTTATTGTAAGTCGCTTTGGATAAAAGCGTCAGCTAAATGACATGTAATGTAATGTAATTAAGAAGTGGAAAATTAGGGATTCTGTTGAAACCAAACCACGGTCAGATAAACCAACCAACATTTCAGCCATAACTGCCAGGAAAATTGTTCGGGATGCAAAGAAAAGCCCACAAATAGCTGAAATACAGGACTCTCTATAAAGAATGTGGTGTGGCAGTTTCAAGATGCACAATAAGCAGGTACTTTAAGAAAAATGGGCTGCATGGTCAAGTCGCTAGAATACATTACCACGCAAATGCCACAAAATATCCCGCTTACAATACGCAAAACAGCATAGAGACAAGCCTCAAAACTTCTGGTACAAAGTCATTTGGATATTGATCTTTTTGGTCACAACCATAAACGTTACATTTGGAGAGGAGTCAACAAGACCTATGATGAAAGGTACACCCATTCCTACTGTGAAACATGGAGGTGGATCGCTGATGTTTTGAGGATGTGTGAGCTACAAGACAGTCCAAGAATTTACAGGAACTGGAGGCTTTTTGCCAAGACGATGGTGCAGCTTTACCATCTCTGAAAATAAAAAGCCTCATCCACAACTACCACAAGACTTCAAGCTGTCACTAATGTTGAAGAGGGCAATGCACAATATTAAGAACTGGGGTATGTAAACTTTTGATCAAGGTGATTTGGGTAGGTTCTGTTGTCATTATGATTTACAAAGAGTAAGCACAGTTGTTCGATAATAAATGGTTTAACCCAACCACTAACCATGAGTGAAAGAAAAGTGTGTTAACATTCGTATTTTCTGAAAAATGGTCAAGAAATCCTACATTCTGCCAGGGTATGGAAACTTATGAGCACAACTGTAAATATATACCAAGTGGTCAAATGTACTGAGATTATTTACTTTCAGAGGGGTTGTAATCTTAAGTGGGTTTTGAGGGAGAAAGAAAAAAAAGAGTTATGTTTTCTTGCAAGAAACAAAGGATTTCATCAAACTGAATCCTTACAGCTGCATTTGCAAATTGTATTTCGGAAATGTTTATTATAGGATTAGTTCATATTTAGTGGCTTTTACCATTCAAAGTAATGTGATTGGGGGGGGGAAAGCTTGTCAATTATTATTTTTAGGGCTAAGTTTTTTTCATAAAGTAAAGTTGTAGTTGATAAAATCTCTTATACTCTTTTAAAACATAAGATGTGGCACAAACACAGATGTGGTCATTTGCGTCATACAAAAATGTTTAAATAATTTCAACAAATACTATTAACCCTTTTTGAAACATTCATAATTGAACAAAGAAAAAACTGTTTTCATTCTACTTAAGGAATATACACAATATTGTAGTTTTTTAGCAGTTAGCTTTCTCTCTTAAACACGCAAGTAGGGAGACAGCGGATTCCAGAGCCAATTTACAACTTAACCAGCAGAGGAGTGGAGTAGTATGGGAAAATTTAGGACTGTTAAAGACCAGTCGAGCTGCCGCATTCTGGAAGAGCTGCAGAGGTTGAATGGCAGTGGCAGGGATTTACTATTACTACCCAATCTCTGTTTCTCACTCATCACTAACAGCAGGGGATCTTTTCCCAGGTTGGGCATTCAAAATAAATAATGTTGATTCACTCTGTTAACCTGTAGCACAGTCAATGTAAGACCTCTGAAGCACCATTTTGTTTTTATTTCTGGGGTAAAAATAGGATTTCACTGTTACCAACGATTTAAATTATCTCTGTTTTGCCTCTACTTCCCCTTCTCAGAGAAATAAATGCAGCAATAAAATTTAAATACCTGAAGTTGATTTATTATGTTTCTCGTGTTGATAAAACCAGAGTTAAATGATTTAGAGGCTGACTAGAATGCATTGTTAAAATATTTATGCAAGTCAAACCATGTTACTGTGTCAAATATAGAAACATTTCATAATCAAAAATAAAGTATACTGAAAGTAAATATAAGTCTATTCTGTGATCTTGGTGCTGTTGTTGATATTATTTATTGATTTATTGTTTTAAATTCCTGTATGTGTGTATGTATAATATATATATAGGCACACCTAAAATCAAACATAAAATGAATGTCAATAAGCTACCATAATTGAATACCAACACATTTTAACGTATTGTATGAGGAATCCTGGATGTGTATTGAGCCAATACTACAAGTTTGCCAACATATTTGTATACACATGTGTGGCCATGCTCAGTGTAAGGTACAAGAAGCTGCAAACCAAGTTGAGATACGACCCAAGGTGAAGATGAGGGTAACACACACAGGTCCTTTGTTTGAGCGTCTGTGTGAGTGCAAGTTAACTCCCTTCTTCACTGTAAAAAAAAAACCTCAGGAAAACTTAAAACATCAAGGCAACTTGATGCATTCATTTATTTCAAGTTTTCTCAACTTTTGCCTAAAGTAGTTTACTTAACTAAGATATCCAAGTTTAGACAAACGTTCTGCCAACTTGATATTGTTCACCTAATTACCTAATTTTTCATTACAAATCAATACTATTTCATGTTGCTTTAATTCTATATTCGAGTTCCGCCAACTTTGATTTTCTTATTAACAGAATTATGATATTCTTGTGAGACTAATAATAGAATGATTGTTTTAATGCCATGTATTTCTACCTTTAACAAACACAGACATACTGGTTGAATAAACATATTATAGCTATCGGAGCGGCAGATTGCGTTAGGCTGCATTGCAGGCGCATTGCATTATGGGACAATCTTTGGATGCATTTAAATCCCTATCTGTTATGTTCATGTTCTAGTGTTTGCGTTTATGGGTGTTTTTCTAGGTTCTGTTGTGTTGTGCTCAAATGTTACTGTTAGTTTGATGTGTAAGAGTGTGGGCACCATGACCCAACTTAGTATGGCTGTGGGTGAAGTTCTGTGTTAACACAAATAAAATGTCTATCTCCTGGGGTCTTGTGGTGTACAAAACACAGGAAAGGCAGTAAAAGTAATTCAAGTCTCCTGTCTCATTCATCTGGCCAAGCTCACAACAATATAATTGTAACATCCTAATCCTAACCCTAACCCTGTGAAAGTGTTGTACAGCAAGAAAACTAAACGTGGCAGTAAGAAGCATCACGCATTTTCACTTTACAGGCAACCAGTATGCATGTGCGAGCATGTACATTCCCTTAACTTTTACCTGAGTAATAACAATAAACTTGAAACATGTTCCTATTTTGAACTAGCAACTTACATTTCCACAAGTTCTGTGAATGTCAAAGTTGATTTACATGCTAAAATATGAGAACTAACAATGCACTAATTTAAGAGAAAAAGAGTGTTGTCGCTTTGATTTGATTAAGAGCTAATGAAAATTTAAAGACAAAACTCATTTCACTTGAATTTTAAATGTATTATTATTCTAGCGAACATTATATTTGTGGTGAGATTTTAAATTGACTGACCAAATTGAGTTTTGGAGCGTTCGTCGCACATGATGTTCAAGGGATGTGGGAATGATGAAAATCCAACAACCATGTTTTTTAATAGATTCATGCTAGAATAAACAGTGTAGTCTTGGCGATGGTTTAAATAAAATAAGCTTTGGAATCCCATCGACAGGTTTTTGGGGTTCAGCTATATTACTTAAGTCTATTTCCTACAGTTGTTATTACTTACCAAACACTCCAGGAGAAATTTTGTTGCGTTGTCCAGCGGAAAAATGGGCAGGCCTCTCAATGCTGCTGTCTTTCGGTAAGACACAATGTCCGATGTCTTAGGAGAAAAAACAAAAAAGAATACAATTAGTATAGTGATATAGTTAAGTTACACAAAATCTGACATATTGTATAGCAGTGAGGAGGATAAAGCTTTGTTCCAACTTACCTATCATGATCAAGAAAAAAAAGAAAAAAACTGTAATCCTGCTGGCAATTTTATTTTCTACTATCTCAAAAGGAAGACCAACCACCTTTGGGTGTCCTGAGCTTCAAGTACTTCACTCACCTGTACATTGAGCTTTTCCAGGAGGTCTTCCATCTTCTGCCCAAAAGCTCCCTTCCTTGTCCGATAAAGTCTCAGCAGGCATCGGACATATCTTTCAAGGGATGCAGTTAAATCACCCAGGAGGTCTTTGCTGGTGATCTGATGGAATTCTTCAGATATCTGACCAACATAATAACATAATAACAAGACAAAGCCATATGATGTGTAAGTAACATTTCTGTAGTACAGTAGTATACGCCATTTTTTTTAACAGAAATTGTATGCAAATATATACAATTGTTTTAGAATTCAAGTATTATGAGGTATGGCATTTGTAAACATAAATCTTAAGGACCAAGAATTCAATACAAATCAAACCATCATTTTTTTTCAAGTCAAGGTAGTATGATTGATCCTGCCCAATTTAACACTGCAAAAAGCATTATAAGAGAATAAATGAGCCTTACCTCCTCAATGGAAAACAAAACAGGCCATCCCGCCTGCACTTCTGAAACCATAGGCTTCCCTTCTACTACCTCTTTTCGTCTAAGGGAAAATGTTAGCTCCATCTTTTGCCGGATCAATGTGTTGTTCTTCTTCTTCATTTCGTCTACCAGAGAAACTCTTTCCTCCTCAAGAGTAGAATCATCATGATATTGTGGATAATCTGGGACATGATTGACCTCACCACGTTTGGGCCTTTTCAGGGTGAAAGAAGTGTAATCTTCATCTCCCCCTTTTCTTTTTCTGTTGACATTCACCTCATTGCAGCCCGTCTGACGAAGCTTTGACCTGTAGTTTCCGAGCTTGTGCTTGATACTTGTTTTCCATCCATCATACCCCTTACTGCTACCTGGCTCCTTCAGACATGGATACTTGAGAACCAATGAAGAGGCAACTGATTCAAGTTCCTCTTTCTCAGGGTAGCTTTTAAATTCAATAATTGCTTGTGCAAGTTTATCCAAAATATCCATTTTCATGTCTCTTGTCACATCAATGCCCTTCTTTGACTTTTCATATGCCTCATTCCCCTTTCGCAATTTAAGTTCAACATCATATGAGAATTTAGGAATAGGGAATGGAGTGGGCCACCCTGCAACATGTCTTAAATTGCTCATGATGGAATCAGTATAGCTGGACCTGAAATCTTCAGAGTGAACACTTGCTGTATCAAGAGAAGAGAATGAACAAATGGAACTGTTGCTGGATTAGTGAGGGGCAGATGAATCACAGTTCCACATAATATGCAGGACTGCACGCTCAGCTGGTAATTCAGACATTGCTGTCAACTTACAAAGTGCATTTCCAAAATCTGGATCCTCAAACTGTAGGTAAAAATCCCCATCAAGTTCGAGTTTCTCTTTAAGTTCATCAATCAGTTCAGCCACAGATCCTGGCACTTCAGGCAGCTGGACTCGCCGGGCTTCTCTGGAGGACAAACTACACGAAGCAACAAAAAGATAGAAGAAAAAACAGGAGAAAATAGTCAAACCTGTTTATAGGAGACATCCAACATCTTGAAGAGATTGCAGTGGTGTTTTTAATGTATTACTCATTATAAAAATAGATCATGTAACTGTTGCAGTACCACTATAATGTTTTCCAAATTGGTAGAAATGTTAAAATTAAACAGCTGGCACAAGACAACATACCATTTTGAGTTGCTTTAATGGAGAATGAATGTTCTTATGGTCACCATCAACTTTCCACCAACTGTGTATGCTGCGAGACGGTGGTAATCCGTCAGCATATCTGGATCCAGAATGACAATTTCTGAACAGTGGCCTTCAACAAGCTCATAAGACCTGAAATGTTCAATGTACCAGGAAGAGAGTCTTTTACAAATGAATGCCACCTCCTCAGTGTTGACAAGAATAGTAACATTCTTATGGAATTCTGGGAGGCCACTGCACTGTCCACTCGATAAAATCATTCCCTCCGCATACTGAGTTCCATGCAGGTGAATCGTTTTAGACAGAGACACACTGTCAAGATATGGGTACTTCTTTTGTATTTCACACTTAAGTGATGCATCTAATTTTGAAACCCTGACCACTTTTACCATTTCAAGTTGAGGCTTGAAAAGGTTATTATTATCCAGATGGTATGCCATCATTTGTTGGTGTTTGGTGGAAAGAGTGAGCAGCACATTTTTCTAGTTATGAGTGTCATGGACCACCTTTTTAAAGAAGCTATGCTTAGCTTCGAATCTCATTGTCCATAATTCCGCTAAAGGTCCATAGCAGCGAATAAGATGTGGGGAGTGGTCCATGAAGTGGTCTTTTGGCTGTAGTCTGAAATCCGGAAAGGTATTTGTGAGCAACTTCCGATGGTCCAGTAGTTTACAAGATAAATAAAACAATGTTTCTTCCAACAGTCTGTTTGACACAACAATCTCAACAATTTCCTTCAAGTCCATTAACATCTCCCATGCAGGCTCCTGTTCTGTTATCTTACATCCAATTATGAAAGGGAGTAAGAGCAGCAGTGTCCAATTTTCATGTCCATTTTTGCCAATAGTTCCTTTTCCAAAGCTTGCTTTTGGAATTTTGTGTGGTTTGTTTACTTTGTCTGAATACTTGTAGGTAAATGATTTTATACTTTCATTGAGTGCATCAAATGTAATGACACCTTTTGAGATCAGATTTTTCAAACACAAGTGGGTCGCGACCCACCAGTTGAGAATTACTGCTTTACAAACTGACCTAAAACGTCAACAAAAATTCCCTCTTGTTCTAGACATCTTATATCTTTAATCAGCGGTTCAAGAAACTTTTCAAAACCGTATTTCTTGACATCTACACTTTTACCCATGACAGCTTGCTGAATTGAAGTAAGACTTGACCGGAACTTGGATGGTAAATTTAGAACAACCCAATATACTGCAGTTATCTAATGAAGTTTTCTAGAGGTGCCGAGCGGGTTACAAACTTCAAATTCATCAATATAGAATGCCAAACTGATACATTTGTTTTGCTCTCCTAGTATCTTATTTTCTCTGTCTCTAAAGTGCCCTGATAAAGCTTCTTGTTCAAATACAATTTGATGGCGTGTGGGGTGTGTTTTACAGATATTCTATGGGTTCTATAACAAAAAATTGTTCCTTGAAATATACATTCCTTCGGTAATCTGTAGATAAGGAACCGTTCTTTGATGTTGTTAAAAGTAGTGGATTAGTAGTGGATTAGTTTGAACTACAGCATCAGAAATTTCTTGCAAAATAGAATCATTTATTTCAATTCTATGATTTAAAAGGATCTCTTTGACACTGTTAAGAGTCTGACTGTTAGAAAAAGACAGCAGATTATGCAAATCCTCTACAATATTTTGTGTTGCAGCTCTAGAAACATGTAACACTGTTTGCATATATAGAAAGAGGGAGGCCAATTTGTGTTCAAGTGTCTCACTATTCACATGTTCAAGAATCTCTTCAACTATATATATATATATATATATATATATATATATATATATATATATATATATATAAGAATATGAGATTACTGATAATCCCTCCTCCACTATGTGGAGTTTAGTTTCTTCTGGTTACACCTACACCTCTGTGCGCCAAATGTAAGAGTAACAGTCGTCATCTTTTGTGTTTCTTCACAGTACATTTATTTGTACGAGTGTTTCAAAGAATAATGCAGAGTTCAGGCTACCACGCTTGATCTGCGGAGGCTCGCACTACGCGCCAGTTTTAAAAAACGCTTTAGCAGTTTAACCCTGTAACACGCCTTGTTGTAAAATTACAACGTTACATTTAACAATCCTTAAAAACAATCTGTTATATTTTATGTTTTTTTTTTACCACATTTACATAGTCATTGGGTCCTATTGTTCAGTCTCACAATGCTATTGGATCATACATTTGTTTATAAGTCCCGCCTTATGGCCATGAAATTACACAACATCTCATGGTTTCCTTCGAACAACATCTCTTTGTTTCAAAGGACTGGATTCATCAGATTCAAGTAAGTAAAATGTCTTTTATATTTTTGGGGGTTGTTATTATAATGTCTAGAGCCTGTACATATGTAGTTATTGTGTAATAAATTCATCAAATTTCATCTAGAGCTTGCTATATACTTGTTGCACTTATACAACAAGTGTGGTAGTCAAAATAGCAGGCTTGTTGCAGTGGGCTCAAACAGGTTGTATTCCCTCCACTACACCACTGCCTGAAAGAGTATTTTCTTATACATGGACAGTATACCTGTACATTCTACTCTTTTGTTGTGTTCTGGTCACATTTGACTGATTTAAAAGTTGTATCTCTGAAAATGTAGTTAATTTGATCAGACTGACCTAAAATTCTAGAGGATATCAACAGACATTTCAGTTCTGGGAAAGGTGAAAATGTTCCTGAATGTGGGGTGTTAATGTAAGTGGGGGTATGCATGTTTTCCTTTTAGTATGATAATTATAGATCATAACAAGCAGTATTGTTATGTCAAGGCAGTATTGTTTGACTAAATGGCTGGTGATTGGGATGCATGTTTCATTTAGCATGATAAGTAGACAGCATCGGCTATGCCATTTACATTTAGGACATTTAGCAGACAGCAACAGGTTAGAAAGAAACTTACAATAAACAGACAGTATTGTCTGCCTGGAAAACATTTCTACCCTGAGCACTTGGTCCACCAACCTATTACTTCAGGTTATGTACTACAATATAAAAAGCATATTTATACATGTTAATTAATTGTTGTTTTATTTCCAGAATGCCACCAGCAAGGACAGAGTTGCGATACAGTGCGCAGGATGTGATTGATTCCATCCAAAATGGTGACAGTGAATTTGAGATGGACCTCAATGACACTGATGAAGACTCAGACGAAGATGTCTGTTAACAAGTTGACAAAGAAAACCAACCACCCATGGACTTTTCCAGCTGATAATTACGTGGACATCGAGCCACAAACAAACAAACACACCATGCCCCGTGACAGGTATCGCTGATTCATTCAGAGAGAAATTCCTGCAGATGGTACCAGAAGAGCACAACTCGTGGATGAGATGATAATTCCTTTCAAGGGGAGGTTCAGCAGCATCAAGCAATATATGCGAGGCAAGCCAAACCCATGGGGATTCAAAGTGTGGGTGAGAACTGGAATCTCTGGCATGATGTGTGACTTCGATGTCTACCAAGGCAGTGTCAACGGAATACGAGCCAAATTTGAACTTGGATTGTCAGGTGATGTTGTGATGAAACTTGCTTCCACACTTCCAGAAAGTCAGAACTACAAAATCTATGCAGACAACTACTTCACTTGTGTTCTATTATTAGTAAAGCTCCTTGAACGGGGAATTCATTATGTGGGAACAGCCAGGCAGGTGCGCTTACCCAACTGTAACCTTGAAGATGAGAAGAGTTTGAAGAAAAAGGGGAGAGGAAGCCATGATGTCAGAGTGGAGGGGAATCACAACATCTGTGCTGTCAAATGGTATGACAACAGGGCTGTCACACTTGTGTCATCGTTTGCTGGACCTGAACCTGTGCAGAAGATTCAACCCTGGGACAAAGTCAACAGAGCCTACATTGAAGTTGAGAGGCCTTACATTGTTGGTGCCTACAACAAGTACATGGGAGGTGTGGATTTGTTGGACTCATTTACAGCCAAATATAAGTTCCCCATCAAATCCCATCGCTGGTACATGTACATCTTTTGGCACACCATCATCCTCGCTGTGGTCAATGCCTGGCTCCTCTACAAGCGGGACTGCAAAGCTCTCAAGATGTCTAACAAAGAGACAATAAACAGGAGACAGTTTCAGGCACAGCTAGCATCCTCTCTCATCCTGGTCAACACAACACATCAAACTCCAAAGAGAGGACGACCATCTCCAGGCAAAGGGAGCCCAGCAACACAGACAGTGACATCAAGTAGCCCTCTGAATACTCAGAAGAGTCCATCCAAGAGATGTGCACAACTCCCATTGGATGTACGCAAGGCCCTAGTTGCACATTTCCCACGGAAGACAGGGAGAGGACGCTGCAGACACTGCAATAAAGGATACACCAACACGCAATGCAGAAAGTGTGATGTTCGCCTTTGCTTTTCAGAGGACAAGAACTGTTTTTGGGACTTTCACAACCAATGAAAGTCAGTCATGAAAAGAAAAAAAGGAATGAAGAAGCTAGAAAAAGCTAGAGATTTATCCGTTTAATATTTTATTTTTAATAAATGACTTCATAAAAAATATAACTAATGTGTGATTATTATTAATATATATATATTATTTATGGGGCTAAGTAAGCAATCAAACCTGCAAATGAACCGTTAGTCGTTCTGAATTGTTGTTCAGACAATCTGAGTACAAATCCAGAAATTCTGCTCCCAACTAAGCCCAATGTTGCAATATTACATTTCTCTAAAAACATACATGAACATTTTAGTTTGTAAAACTTTTTAATTTCTGCATTAAAGGCCTCCTACAACAATTTTTTTTTAGGTTTTTCTATGTTTGTGTCTTACAGGGTTAACACCGCAGCGGTCACAAAACCCCGCAATGCTGACGTCTAAAACATGCTTCACAGGCCGGCTTAAAAACCAAAAAAGCACACTGAACAGTGAGATTGGTCGGCCGGCATACTGCAGCAAATGCATGTCGACGTAACAGCGGAGTTATTCAACTTAGCATTAACTGAGTGTAGAATGCTAATGTAGCTGACGAAGCTAACCCTTTGTTGAATTTAATTCCTCCAAGATGTCCGACCACCACACTCGCTTTTCAGAGCCGAATCCAGACTCAGAAATGACGTACATGACAGTAATGCGCATGCGCGCAGTCGTTAAAAGGTTTTCATTCAAAAAAATGAGGCTCAACTCATGAATGCTTGTCAACCTGTTGTGAAAATACTTATTAGTGCAACGACAGGAGTTTGCTGGCCTCAGACGTTTTTGTTAGTTGTTCATGACAAAGCTTCGTTTTTGAGTGAGATGATTTCGAAGAATTATTAGGGTCCTCGCTACGACTAGTCGGAGAGGAACCTATTGTATTTCATAGAATTACTATTATTATGGTCCTCGCTCACATTGAGTCTTAGAGCATACCCTGATTTTTCCCGAATATTTGAACATTCGGGGGCTCTGCAGTTGTTCTTGCTTGTTTTCTGCAATTTCCATCGTATTTTGGATTTACAAACGAAAGATCTCCTCCGGGAGTTTAAACCCGATCCACTTCATTTTCCGGAAAATGGATCCTGACAAGTGGATGGTCAAAAGTTATTAAAATCAAGAGTTTTCGTAAAACTACCAGGGCGTGGCTTGACGTCCATTTTGGTCGATTTTGGTCGATTGTCTTGAAAGCGTAAGGTGTTATAACTCCAAAGAACATTTTTATTTCTGCCCAAAATTTCTAATTCATGATGCTATTGTACGCCTTAAAGTATTCCCATGCAGTGTTTTGCAAATAATTATAGCGCCACCTATTGGCTTAGCTAAATGCAAACGTTTTGCACTTTAATGTGTATCTCCTAGCCATTTAGTCAACCTAAAATGCTTGAATATAAGCCTTAAGGCTGTGATGATAGTTTTTGAAAAACCTTGTTGCCGTGACGACACTGTCTTTGCATGAACGTTCAAGCAGATATTTTGGTGCCTAGGAAAACTGTTGAAAACTTTTGTCAGTGTCCTAGGTGATGACATTAAAGAGCTGATGTGGAGTTTTGACTCAAAAATACTCAATCGCCTCCATAGCGCCCCCTGGCAGTTTTCAATGAAGTAGCCCCAGCGCCCTGTTTGACCTACATAAAAGACAATTTTTGGACATATGTACAATAGGGAGACGTAAAAAAAAAGTGTTTTGGGACCATGGACTAAAAGGAATATTAAGTCAGTTATAATTTTTGTTGTCTGTGAATATTCCCTCTATTTTTGCACTTTCTAGAAGCTATACTTTGACAAACTCCTCTCTGCGACTTTGTCACAGACATTCGAATTTTGTGCTACGCTGTTGCTGTGGAAAGCAGAAGTCCTTTTGAGAGACTAAATATGCTCCAATCTAAACTTGGAAAACACATTTACAGTTAAAGATGTAGTTACTTCACATGATTTCAATGCTTCCAAACAGCAGTTTGGCTCGATAGTGCCCCCTACAAGAATTCCTAAACTCTCTCCAGGCAGGTCTCCCTCCTACAGCTCTACAACCTCTGCAGCTCATCCAGAATGCAGCAGCTTGACCGGTCTTTAACCTGCCTAAATTCCCCCACACTACTCCGCTCTCTTCACTGGCTACCAGTGGTTGCCCGCATCCACTTCAAAACATTGGATCTCATGTACCATGCTGTGAATTGTTCAGTTCCATTCTACATCCAGGACATGGTCAAATCATACATCCTAACGTGC